TATATATATATAAATGTTCACCCCAGGAACATTTTTTTGCAACATATGTAGTGTTTTCCTGAAATGCTGGTTAGATTCGTAATGCCCATAATGTCTTTTTAATGGTTTAGAATATAATTCAACCAATAAAGTATGAAGCTCAGTGATTTTTAATATATTCACAGATACATGCAACTATCAACTCCACTAGAGTATTTTTATCAGTATAATGACAACTCTGCAACTATTACCTATGTACCTTCCCCTACCCTACCTTTCCCTCAGAAACAACTAATCAATTTTTTGTCGATTTCTCTATTTTACTTATTTTATGAATTGAAGTATATGGTGAATGCTACTTTGTGACTACATTCATTTGATTAGTATAATTACTTCAAGCTTAGTCTATTGTAGTATCATACCTTTTATGACTGAACAATATTCCATATTAGGCATTATCAAATTTTATGTATAGATCTATAAATTAATGGGCATTTGCTTTCATTCAAGCTCAGATACAATAAGTAATGCCACTCTAAATGTTTTTAAAAGATTCTATGAGGGCATGTGTTTCATTTCTTGCCGGTAGTATACCTAGAAGTGAAATTGCATCAAAACCTATATTTGTTGCTTAATGAACTGTCCCAAATATAATATACATTTTAGAAGTTAATGTATATAAACAAATAATATTATATAGCCTGAGCAGGTTGTATTTATCATACACATGCACATGCACATGCACACACACGTATGTAACAACTGTTAAAGAATAAAGAGGCTACGAATTTGAAAGAGAGCAAGGAGGAATACATGAGAGGATTTGGAGGAAATTATGTGAATACAATCTAAAAAAATATCTTTGTTTTGACTTTCTTTTTTATTTATTCTTTGTCTCTTTCACATCACACATTCATTCATTGTCCCTTCATATCTGCCGTCTGCTCTTGCAACCTTCCCTACAAAATAAAATAAAATAATCTAGTCATAGAAACTGTACTGTGACACAGTGAGTCACGCAGTAAACCCTTCTATCCATATATCTTTTCTTACAAGTGTTCATTGCAAAGAGTAATTGGTCTGGTTCTAGGCCTCACTGGGACTCCTCTTGCCCTGTGCCAAGGAGATCCTGTAGCTTTGTATCTGCAGGACCAGCCCCTTCACATGTTCCAGAAGATCATAGATGGGGTGGTGGGTGGGGGAGAGTTGCCCCCCCTTACCCCTCACCCCTCTCTACCTGCTATAGATGAGGCAGCTGACCTTTCCCCTTGCCAGTTGCAGCACTCAAGAAAGCTAGCCCTGCTCCTAGTCTGGGCAGTATAGTAGAGCTGACTCTGTTGGCAGAGGCATAGGTGAGCTGACCCTGAGGATGTGAGAGTGGAATTGTTGGCCACATACCACTCATCTGCCAAAATGTGGTGGTGAGAGCAAGGGAAAGATGTCCTTCCTGCCTTGATCCTACCACCTGTGGTAGGTAAGGGAGCTGACCCTCTCCCTTACCAGCTGTATCACATGGGAAAGTGGGCCCTACATCTTACCTGAGCAGCACAGTAGAGCTGACCCTACTGACCGGGGGGGGGGGGGAAGGGCATGAACCAGCCATGAGAACATGAGTGTGTGGGAGATCTGGCCCCACCCTTCATCTGCTATATGGTGTTGTGGGCAGGGGAGATGCCCCATGCCCCACCTCACTACCTGTGGCAGGTGGAAGAGCTGGCCCTGGGGTCTTAAGAATGGGAGAGCTGTCCCTGCCCATCACCAGCTGCAGCACTTGAGAGAGTGGCACCTGTACCTCACCTGGGAAACACAGTAGAGCTGGCCCTGAAGGTGTAGGTGTGGGAGAGCCAACCCTGAGGACATAAAATCAGGAGAACTGACCCCATCCCTTGTCCATTGCTACAAGATATGAACTATCCAGGGCAATGCTGGAGAGCTCACCCTGGTGGTGAGGACAAGGGAGAGCTGGCGGACTGGCCAACCCTGCACCTACCCAGACCCATAACCAGAGTTATGAGTTGGCCCACCCTCAAAAATTGCTTTTTAAAATGTACACGTATACATTAGGTATATGACTTCATAATATTTTCTTTTGTGTGGACTGTATTTTCATGGAGTCAAAATCAAATTTAATTTGATAAAATATTATTATAAATATCTATTTTCATATTATCTATAATTAATATCAGTTATCTTTTTTCCTTATATTTTGGGTCTAATATAAAAACATTTTTTTAGTTTCAAGGTTGTAAAGTGTTCTACCTGTTTTTTTCTAAGAGCTTCATAGGTTTGGGTCTTACATTTCACTGATTAGTCTATTTTGGGAATTTTTTGTATAGTGTGATGTAAGAGAACCTTTCATTCTTTTTCAAGTGACTGCACCTTATTCCATTATCATTTGTTAATAAGATTATTCTTTTCTACATGGAATGTTCTTGATACCTTTGTAAAAGAAATCAGTTTAAATTGATCCATAATTTTATGTCTAGATTGTAATTTTGCCATTAATTTACCTGCTTATCATTGTAACAGTACCATATATCATTTCAAAAAATATGCTTTGTGGGCACTTAAGCACCCCAGAAAGACCCTTTGTGAACCACACTGAGAGTAACTGTCATGGTACTATATGACGAAATTTTGTCAGCAGAATACTGATAAATTGGTAGGGGGTAAATTAGGACTACATAGTACTAAGTGAGGTGAAAACTTGCCGTGAACTATCATATTGGATCTAAACAGTGTGTCAGATATTGTAAAGAATGGTCTAGGGATGGAGACTGCATTCACAACTGAACTCCTAATGAAACATACAAAGGTATGACCACATTATGAGATTCTGCCATTGGAGCAGAGCCCACAGACTGGCCCAGCAGCTGTAAACTGATCTTTTAAAGGAAGACAGAAAAAAAGAGAACAGGACTACTTGTGGCAATGGAATTCATAGGAGTTAGATAAGCTTCTTTCTTTTTTATTTAAATTTTTTCATTCCTTTTGCATACCAACCCCTGTTCCCCTCGCTCCCCTTCTCACGCTCCTCCCCCCATTTCCCCCCATCCACCCCTGTCCCCTCCTCATAGAGGATAAGGCCTCCCTTGGGTAGTCAACACAGGCTGGCATATCAAATTGGGGCTGGACCTAGCACCCCCTGACCCTTAGGCACATCAAGGCTAAGTCAGGCATCTCACCATAAGGAATGAGCTCTAAAAAACCCATCCTGTACTCAGGATAAGTCCTGATCCCATTGCCAAGGGACACACAAACACATCAAGCCACTCAATTTTCACCCATATTCAGCGGGCCTAGTTTGGTCCCAGGCAGCCTCCCCAACTGTCAGTCCGGTGTCCATGATCTCCCACTAGCTTGGGTCAGCTGTCTCTGTGGTTTTTCCCATCATGATTCTGAGGCCCCCTCCCAACCCCTGCTCTAGTAATCCTTCTTCCCTCTCTTCAACTGAACTTGGCCAAGTGCTTGGCTGTGGATCTCTGCATCTGCAGCTAGGGAAAACCCCAGGAACTCACAAGATTGTCCCCAGCTAAGAGGGTGCTTGAATTAGCCTTCCCCTGCACTGAGATTAGTGTCTACCCTAATTGTCATCATAGAACCTACATCCAGTGACTGATGAAAGCAGATACAGAGATAAGCTTCTTGAAGAAAAAAAAGGAACATTGAGAATCTTAAATCTGAAACCAGCAAATTTTCATATCCTATATCCTCATCCTGAGTTCTGTCCCTTTCACAGCTGTTTTCCCATTCTTAATACACAGTGCCACTTTATCAGGCCTACTTGGGTCTCCTGTAGCTTTGCACTGTATCGTTTCCCTCTTTCCTCTTTTATATTTTTGCCTCCAAAGGAAAAAAAAACATGGACTTGAGTGGTTAGTAGGGTTTTAACCTCCTGAGAAACAAGACACTTTATGTTGTCAGGTCATATATCTATCTTCACCAGTTTCTTTTCAAACTGTCCCAACTGTCTCTTCTTTATTTTTTCCATTTCATTCCCGCTTATATTTATATTGCCCTTCTGAAAATTCATAGACTTTTGTCTATTCATAGTGTTTTCAATATTGCATAAATTCTGTTCACAGACATTTGTCTTTTATTGAGTATTCCAAGTCCTCTAACTTGTCTTCATGCCCTGATATTTTGTCCTCCCCCCGATCCATTCTTTTTGTGAGGTTTACACTAAACTTTTTGTTTGATTTATTAAAATTTTGATTTCCAGCATTTTACTTTGGTATTCTTCAGTAACTCTTTATTGAATGCCATTTTCCTATCCTGCGTATTTCATTCAACTGTTTTGCATGTGTTCTCTTAGAATTTTTTGGTGGATTTGTATCTTCTTTTTGTATACTTTCTATGTAAGTTGCTTTTATGATTTGCCTCTCCCACTAACTAGGGCAAAACTCAGTGGCTGGCTAGGTCATAGGCCCTAATACTATTATTATGCTAAATTGATATATGTTAAACTGTCCCCTATGATCTTACCTTTATGCCCATTGATTAGTGAATCTCTTAACCCTCCTCAGAGGAACTTCTTTTTTCAATAAGTGGCAATTAGTACAGAGACCCACCATCAATTACTGTACAGAGAATAAGAGGTGGTAGAGTGCTCAGCTCTAAATGGCACTTTGTGTCACACTGCCTTTTCCCAAGGTTCAGGGATCATTACAGAAAAAGGGATTGAAAAAAATATAAAAGCCAGAGAGAGTGGATATCTGTAACAAAACTGCATATGCCTGTCATGAGAGCACAGTTGTGTATGAACTCAGAG